GAAAACTCATTGATTTCTAGTACATTTGTATCAGCGTTGTGTATATTATAGCGACACCTTCGTTTAAATAGAAATATTACTGCTTATCAGTATAGATTTTCGGAAATATCCTCGATTATTTTTTTTTGGAGAAATTTTTTAAAAGTTCAGGGCCAAAGCTAGACAAATTGAATTTAAATGTAAAAAAGCTTGTTCCACTAACAAATATGTATAAATAAAGGTTAAATAAAATATAAATCCTCATTCGTAGCCTAGATATAATACGAAAAAGAGAGAAACGTATGAATCTTTCTAATTCATCTCTGATAATTAATTGGTTTTATAGTCAGTAGCGTCACTAAGAAATTTATAAATAATATGTAACTGTTAAATATAGGTATTAATATGAACTTTCTAGGTATTCTTATTAGCATTTCATTTTGATGCAAGTAAAGGGTGGTTCTTAGTTAAGGGTTGCCCACTAATGAAGAACACTTCAAAAGTTCCGCTTTTCAGCGACCACTAACCAGTGACCATCCCAAGTTTTTTTCTGTTTTCATTATTATTTACTGAACTGACATGTATCTACAAAAAGAATGTAACACATTCATTTCATGCATAATCGCAAAATCCATTTTCTTTATCAAGAGATAAAGATAAGAATCAGTATCACTATCAATTAAATGAACATGAACAACGTGACGACTTTAGCCGATTGCGCTTTCAAAATTGAAGGTTCGGCGCAATATCTAGGAACAATCTCAGTCTGCTATATTTATTGTAGTAAATAAGGCATTCAAAAAAAAATCAGAATATTTTATGTATAAACAAGATTTGGGACGTCAATGCACAACCTCATAACATAATAAAAAACACAGTCCTTTTCAGATTTCCATCGACGAACATATAAGAGGTCTGGTCTGGCTGCCATGAAATGACTTCATAACTTGTATTACATCATACATCATCGAACTATATAACTTTGATCAAGACTGTTTGCCAAATTTAAAATAAACGCTAACTTTGATCAAGACTGTTTGCGCCAAATTTAAAATAAATGCCAGAGTTTATTTTAAAGCAACATTTTTTAGTGCATAAAATGTTTGTGCAGACGTTTGCATCTTCGATGTCCGGATATCTTTGGAAATGCCGACAAAATAGGCCTGTAACTAGTGCATCTACAGATGTTACCCCGAATTTTCAATATCCGCACTTAAAAGTCTAATATATTTTTATTTCAGTGGTCCGTAAATGCAGCCTAATAGGACATCCACAATGGAATGATGAAACAATGTTAGTGATAGTGATTATAAGTGACAAATCGGAGTTATGTTGATTGCCGTGATCATCTTAGTGACTAAATTCGTTGATATCCGTTGATGGTGAGTTGAGCCAGAGATCTCTAGAAATATTTGGTAATTTACGTTATTGTTGTATTGCTCGAATGATAATGGGCCCTAATTACTTTCTTGGGAGAGGAGACCTAGTTTTGAGATCATAACTGCAAATATTAAATGCTAATCGAGATATAAACTTTCGAGTATTTTACCTACATAAATATAAACTAACATTTTCGTTATAGATAGTACACTTTTTATTTCTTTATCGTATCATTATAAGTAGAATTTCATTAGATATGAAAGTACATTTGTTGAAATCAATTAAAAACATTTGTAAAATAAAATAATTATAGTAAAAACACAGAACAGAAACAATGTAATCAAAATATATTTAAATTTAAATATATTAAAAATAGAACTAAAATTCTATTAACATAATTGCATCCATAAATAAATCATTAAGTAATAAATTTACTTATCTTTATTTTATCAAAACTTAAAACTTAAACGAGACGATCAGAAATGCTGCCCTGTTTTGAAAAATGTCCAATATGTTGTCACTGTAACCGAATTGTCATTTTACAGAAATATTGGGTTTTCAATAGGATTCCCTCATACAAAGAAAGCAAGGGCCTGTATTTTAGGATTTTTTTTAAAAGGTAATAAATACTAATAAATAAAATGATTTAAATTATTCATAAACTTTCAAAAAGTTTGGTCGTTAATCTTCACAAAAAAAATTTAATAAATGGAACTTCGTTCTTATCCACTGCCCAAAAGTTGCTTTACTACATACTATTTAGTACATATATTAATATCATAAAAATTTTAGAGAATTATGTTTAATTATTTTCCAAGGTTGGTACAACTAAAAACCTCTTCAGCGCATACATATGGCAACTTGCTTTCCTCGAGAGCCGTGAGATTCATGAACAGCAAATAACGTCTCACCAGAGACGACGAATTCACTCCACGCTTGGAGCGACAAATACACACGGGTTTCCACATGAAAACCGCTAAACGAATTGGAAGGGGGGCCTCCGCTACTGCCATCAGTGCTACCCCGCTCTTCGCATAACTCCAGAGAATTTGACCCAGACGCTAAAAAGTCAAACCACATGGCAACGACGCTGTCATGCTCGGCGTTCTCGAGGACGTGTCGCACTGATATGTTTGCAACTGTCCAAAGAGGTGGTTTTAGTTATACAACCACTGGGGTCCAATGTCTAATGGACAATCTTCAAACAGTTCATTGAGAAACTCGTTGATGTCTAACAGAGGTGTATCAGAGTTGTGTATGTCGTAGCGACATCTTTGTTTGAGTAGAAGAAGCTATATACCATTTGTGTTCTTCTAGCTTAAGCAACATCATGTAGCAAACTGCGTTAAAATTGTACTGTTGATTGAGAATTATGATACTTCAGTTAATACGTTTAAAATCATTGAAAAGGTACATTAAATAATTTAGTCCACAGTATACATACTTTATAACTCGTGAGGGGCATCGTTTTGATGTGTCTACCTCTACCACACTTTTCCTCTACGACTTTTCTCGATTCTTCCGTTTTTCCACTCGGAAAAGTCCAAAAACATGACAATTTCCCGGGGTCTTGAAAAGTCAAGACCTCATCTTTTTTTTAGCTCAAGTTACTGGAAATTTTGTTGCAAATGCCGATTTAAATTTGTCCTACAGAAATTCTTCCGACATTGACGTGTCTACCGGCCGAAACATGCCAAAATGACAGGGTATTGAAAATCAATTACCACATAGGTAATTTTTAGTAAAATTAATTGTAAATAATTAATTCAGTTAAAAAGTATTGTTGCCCGACAAATTTCAAGCCGCGTTTTTTCAGTCCGACAGCTGGAAATCGGAATTTTCACGGGATATGATGATAAATCGATTACCACATGTCGGACAAAAATAACACGATAGAAGTGTTTTTATAAGCAAAAATTGCAATGTCCGACAAAAATATATCCGCAAATCGTCAGTCCGACAAAAAGAAGATGAATAAAATTTCGTAAAAAATATGTGCACATGTATTTATAATTTCTAATAAGGTGGGCTGTACTGTGGACTAATAATTATTTAGGAAACGTATAGCTCCTTGATATAGGTACCTATTATGTAAGAACATCTTCCAATTTCATTGTTTTGTGCTTGTGTTTTAATTGACTACTTTGTAATTAATTATTTTTAAGTTGGATACTAGGTGCAAAGTTACATATATACCTGAACTCTGCTGGGAGTAATATTGGCATGCAATTTTTTCTAAAATACGGTACGAATACAACTATTTATTTATTTGTTTGAATAAATAATGAGATTTCTGGGAAATGATTAGTTTGTCAGATTTTATCTGTTATCGCTACTAGATGGAAACACAGTAGACAAAAAAAGTCGTCATCTGTGTGAAATAAAAGGAACGTTGTTAAATAATTAGGTTAGATGGCAGCACGAGTACCACCAAGAATATTTAAAAATCGTCTAAAAAAAGTATCAACGAAATACAAATCAGATCGCAAAGAAGCAATGAAAATTGTATATTTTAGCTTTTTTTTTAAACATCCCCAGGCATTTTTATTTAAATTTTCGGCAAAAACTATTACAGACAACAATAATTTGACAACTAACTTGTGTCAAGTTATTTTAATCGTTTTTGGAGTGTTTCTGGTCATGGCTAATTTGATAACAGGTCTGATACGAGAAAAAATGTCCAAAATATCTCTAAAAGTAATAACGGCAACCCTGCTAGCAATGCTTATATGGCTAGGAAATAAATATCAATCTGCATAAGACAGAGTAAAATAATACAGGGTGTTCCATTTAAGTGAACAAAGTTATAGCTGTTTGAAGTTATCAAAATATTAACAGCAAAAATGAAACAACGCTCCTGATTTTTTTCTTAAAAAATTAATGACCCTTAAATTTCACGTAGAATCCGGGAACGCAATAATATATAGGGTGTCCCATTTAAAATAAGAGTGTTAGAGATGTTTTAAAATCTTATGAGCTTTGACCTTCATATGCGCAGAAACATAATTTCGACCGTCGCCTAAATTATTCTACGTCCTAAAAACATTACACCTATTATTCAGTCTGTCTCGAGCTCTAGCGTAAACAAGCCTTTGATCCGATTACAAATATCATAATAAAATGCCCTATTCTTTATTATTTTAATTTAAACATTAAAAATATATATAATGAACGTTCGCCAGTTGACTTTATTAATGCCCGAGCGCCTTAGTTCATTTCTACTTGTAATGATGCACATGGTCTAGTTCTGAGTCAATGTTTTCACAACATGCTTATTAAAAGAATTATGGGGATACGCCACACCTTTCGCGCATTTCGCGGCTCATGAGATATTAAAAGACCTCTAATGTTGACTTCCAGTATAACGGAAGTGTGAATGTATTTGGATATAATTGTTGCACTTGCTACTCCTCTTCATTTTAAAAATAACTACAATTTATAATTTTTCCGGGGCAATTTAAGCACATCGCAAATAAGTAAACGCAGTCAATATAAAACGGACTGAGTCCCGAAAACTTCCCTACGTGGTGATTTCAAATTAACATAGTAGATGTCACCTCCTGCGTTGTTATCGCAAATGCAGAGACAAATTTGACAAGAGAACTGTCATTTTTGGCAGGACTTAAACGCGTGCCTACAAAATGACCGAAATCGTCCAGAAATGGATACAGGACCGTCTTGGCGCTTTGATAGACATGTCTCCGGAAAACTTCGCGAGCACGGCCAAAGACGGTCACCTGCTCGCGACGATCCTAAAAAGTTACGAAATCATCACGCAGGAACAACTAAGTCTGATAGAAAAATCCGATTTTCCAGAAATCTGCCTAGCGAACTTCAAGGAGCACATCCTCATCTGGTTAACCGCCATGGGCATCACCGTGGACGACGAAGAATTGTTCAAAATAGTCAACTCAAAAGGTACGGCAGCCCTGAATCTATTCTACCAGGTCTACTTAGAGATGTGCGGCAACACGAACCTGTACTTCATAACCGAGCAAAGACTGAGGGAAAAGTTGCGACCAAAGGGCAGGTTCACGGTGCACAGAGTGAAAGAAATCGCAAAATCTTCAGGAGAGGATTCGCGCACGCATGTGTTCGACACGCCGTTGAGGGAAGCACAGGATATAGTTCATTGGCAGAAGGACAAGATGCAGATGTTGCACGCGAAGAGTAAGGAAGCCAGAGAGCGGTACTTGCAGTACGTGAGGCTGAACCAATCCCCAAGGCAGAAATTACAAGTTCGACAGGCTTTAAAAGGGAGGTATGAGAACGCAGAGCGTGACGTGGTGGAAAACGTGGATCCGCCGGACGTAACTGCAACGTACGAGGAGCTGGTGAGGGAACAGGATGAGGTGAATAAAGCCTCGAAGTTCACGCCGGACCCTCAACAGACGCGAATGTTGTTGAAGAAGTTCCGCGTCAGACAGAGGGAACATTCAGAGAATCTAATCTTTAAGGCGGAATTGCAGCGGAACGTCTTCACCAATTTATGGGATGTGCTGAAGAGGGACGAAGAGGACCGTCTGAATAAGAACGTGACTGAAATCGTGGTGAAGCAGTCACTGTACGAGAGGCAAATGCATCAAAAGGTGGCAGAGGTTAAGCTCCAGAAGCACGTCATGTTGGAGAACAAACGCGACGAAGCCTTCGCCATATCGAAGCAGCTGGAGACCGACTTCGCGCACAAACTGGTCATGCAGGAAAAAGAATATGACGCCGAAGAGTTGGCGTACTATTTGGAAAAAGAAAGACTCGCCCAGCTCCACAAGAAGTTGTACGCACACAAACTCGAGATGAGGAAGGTAGTCGCTCATAAGATTTGCGCGGAAGCAGTCGAGGACCTCGTCACGATTGCGTACAACGACGCGGAATTTAGGGAGAAAATCGGGGAAGAGCCTCCACGTGGATTGCGAGAATCGTGGAAAAAGATGTTCACCAACGTTATTCCATTAGATAGTTTCGTGACCCCGACGGAAGTAATCTTGAAGAAGCCAGAAGAACGGCCCGAAGAGATAGAAGAGATAATACATCTAGAAATTGAGAGGCAAGATATGATAGACAAACAGGACATGGAGAGTTATCTAGCGTTCGAATGGCCGTGGTCGTTAGAGAACATGGAATTCGAACAAGCCAGCTTAGATGACATGTTTTGCACGTTGAACATTTTGGGGAACATCGTGCATAACTTGCTCGCTGTAAAATATCCCTACCCTCCACTGCCTACCAAACCGGACTTTCCAAACATAAAGATGTGCGCTTGCGTCAACGGTCTCGATACCAGCTGCCTGCCTGGTCTGCAGGAGATTCTGAACCTGAGGAAAATATTGGTGGTTGAAATGCAGGATTGCATCGATTATTGCGTGAACGCGTTTATCGAGGAAACCACAGTGGACGTGGACGACTCAAACAAAGACGCCGTTCGCGACGATACAAAAAAGAAGAAGGGAAAAGATAAAGAAAAGCGGGAGGACGTCCGCAAAGAAAAGAAGCCCAAAAAAGGGGCTAAGATTAAGAGGATAGCCAGTGTGACGGACGAAGGACCTGTCACAGAGAAAATATCTTTTTTAGATAAAATGGTGCAGACGCCTAAATACTATCCTGATCAGGATATACCTTTGACCCATAAAGCGGAACTGGGCAAAGTTGCCAAGGAGGTGTTACAAGCTGGACAACCCTTGACTAGCTTTATTTTAGCGGCCATGTTCGTAGAATATCTTAAATCAAAATCGGACATTGCAGGTACTTGGGTATTATTATTAATTAACTAGCAACCCGCCCCGGCTTCGCACGGGCAAATATAAATAGCCTATGTTACTCCGAGGAGATGTAGCTTTCGGTAAAATTGGTTGAGTAGTTTTTGAGTTAAATCGTAACAAACAAAAAATCAATCATCTTCCATCTAATGCGACCCTAATATTAATTTTAAAATAATTCACGGTATATCTATATACCTAAAGACAACAAACGAACTCAAAACTAAAAATGCAAAACGTTTAAATTTAAAACAATATAGGTAACTACCAACAATGTGAAAACAAAACGAATTAAATTAATGTACCTAAATTCAGGACTATCAATTTTAATTAATAAGTAAGTAGTTAGGTATCTAACTACCTAAAGAAAACAAACACGAAACAAAAATGCGACTATGAAGTTTTAAATGATTCACAATAAGAAAAAAACAAACAAATTATTAAAACTCAATGAAATAAAAGTATATTTGCAACTATCTATGTATGTTCCGACTACCTAAAGACAACAAATACAAAACAAAAATGTGATCTTAAAATATCGAACGCAATTATAACTTTCCAACAACACCCAAAAAGAAAACACAATCGTCAGTCGTCACCTCCATTCGCTCCAAGTCAGTTTATTAAAGGATCACACGCGCGTTATCGTTCGGCTTATTAGCTAAACAGTAGGCAAGACGGAGCGGAGGGAGGGTCAGGCGATCGCATCAAGCGAAGCGGGGAGCTTGAAATTTATTCTCGCGTCCGTAATTTTTTTGCGATTACTCCTAAGATATTCATTTAAATTATATGGTGTAAAAGAGTAAAATAATGTGCATGAAATGCTTAAAGCCTCTAACTTATTTAAAATGATAAGGATCAATACCGTATTTGTGTAAATAGCTTTTACATTACCGCTTTATAATTGCCAATTTTTTAAAGTATTAAAATGGATATAGGTAGTATGTTATCTTTAACATATAGACATATGCCATCGCAGACTTTTCTGTAGGCATATATAAGATACACAATTCCACCATACATTGATACACTACATAAACTTTCAGACGCGCGGCCCGGTCGAATCACGGCGACACGAAATTAATTTCGTTGCGTATTATTTTGATTTTGCTATATCTCCCAAGGTATTCATTTAATTTGCATGGTGTACAGGGAAAAAATAATCTTCATGAAATGCTCAAGCCAACTAACGTATTTAAAATGATAAGGATTAATACCGTATTTGTGTAAATAGCTTTCCAATTACCGCTTTATAATTGCCAATTTTTTTAAGTATTAAAATGGATATAGTATGTTATCCTTAAGAGATAGACATATGCCATCGCGGACTTTTCTGTAGACCTATATAAGATACACAATTCCACCATACTTTATTTTGTTACATCTCAAAGGGTTTAGGCAGCGTTTTCGTTGAAAGCTCCCAGACGGCTTGTTTTTTCCGACGCCTCCAACAAATATCGTTAATGTATACAAAAACTTAACAAATTATATACTAAAACTTTCCCCGAGAACCACTCTATCCATTGGTGAAAACAGCATGAAAATCGGTGCAGTAGTTTTTGAATTTATCGCGAACAGACGCAGTCAGACGCGGCGGAGGACTTTGTTTTATAATATGTAGTGATATTGGTAGTATATTTTTCGAAATTAGTTTAATTATAGTATTAGTGCTTTACGAGTATAGAAACTACAGTTATTCTTGTGGGTTGTAAGGTTGGGTGTTGATAAATTTTCCCAAGACCTACGAAGAGGCTGCCGTGCTAGAAGAGAACCTAACAGGATTACCTGTGCCTAGATTGACAGACGAAGACATGGACGCTTGCCAAAGCCTCTTGGAGATGGCAGAGTTGGAGGAGAGGCCTTCCAAACATAAAGAAGCAAGCGAGCTCGACGCTTGCCGCCGCTCTAAGGTCCTGCCGCAGCCTAATCCTCCCAAGGATCCAGATTTCTACGACACCGCACTGACAGCCTACATTAAAGTTATAAAAAAGGACCCAAGTACTAAGTGACCAAACAAAAGCTAGGACTTTTATTAATAGAGTTTCTCTCCCGACAGATGATAAGCAAGGTCAATGTAACCCGTTTCTGGAGGATTTGGAGGAGAACCAGGATCCCCTCGAGAAGTTCTACGCCGATTTGGGTTGCAACTACCATTTCTATTACAACATAACCGACTACAGTTCCATCAAGTCCTTGGCCAAGCTTATAATCGGGGATTTCAGTTTGCCAATGAGGAGTTCTGTGGAGATATTCGGCGAGGCCATCAATTACCTCAACGCTGACAAGAGTCGCACGGGTATGAATACTACTGCCACCAAGAGAGGCGAGAAGAAGCAGAAGCCGAAAGAGAAGAAAGCGAAGCGGAAGCAAGAGGAAGGGACGACGACGAAGACGAGTACCGAGAAGAAAAGTAAATCCGGCAAATCGGACGCCAAAGGAGGTATTTTGATAGGTTTTTGTGCGGGGTGTCTCGTTGACGTTGCGTTTCCGACACAGCTAAATCGGGTAAACATAAAAATGTTAAAATTTGTACAGAACTGTGTCTTAAGAACATGGAAAAGTATATGTTACTATTAGACTAAGCAAATTAAATTTTTACTCGAAAAAAGTCCTATCTGCGAGATTATTGTAAAATTGTCTAAAGGAACATAATACAAGACATCTCTCATCTCGTGAGTCAAAAACTTTTATTAGCTAACTTTTCTATTTAAACAAATAAGCGAGGAAAACAGTTTTTTCACTTTGCAGGGAAAACCATCAATTTTAGCGAAAAGTGACTCTCAGACAGCTTATAGGGAGTAAAATTGTCTTCAAAATGAAACTTGTTAAATTAAAATCGGTTAATAAACAGAAAAGTTATTGCAAAATAACAAGAAAAGTGCCCATTTTTTAATTTGTTTATAACTATCGCATTTATTGTTAAAATTTTATAAAACCTATGACAAGTTGAGGGTTTTGTCATACTTCAAAAGTTTGCCAAAAGTGGGCGCTGTAGGTGCAATAGTTTTCGCACAATTCTATTTGTTTTTATCGGAGGCTCCAAAAGTTATGAACTTTAAGCCTCTGTACAGGCGTTCATTTTCAACCAGACATGATTCTGAAAGCGTCATTGTAATCTTAAAGACGTAATTAAGCGACCTATTAAAAAATATCACCGTTTTTTTGACATTAACATTCTCAAACTGTGCATTAAAAAACCGTGCGTTTTTCGCTTATAAACAATTTGAATAACATTGTTGCTATTTATGCTATCTCACCGAAAATAGATGCAATGGATAGCTGGCAAAAAAATACAGTTTTAAAATAAAAAAAGTACCCTCTACGACCAACAGGAGCCAAGATAAGATTTTTTTTTTAAATCGTAGCGCAATTGTTTATAAATATTAATACTTGAATTTTTCGCAAAATACAGTTTACGACGTAAACTACGATTTCTCGTGAATTGCATTGAAAAATGTGGAAAATTAACGACTCACGAGCCCTTTAAAGAGAAGGTACTCGCTAAGTAAACTGTCCGTAGGCCGGCGGCGTGGTGGTGGGGGAAGCCCGTCCGAGCGGTCGCGCGCGCGAGAAAAGTGAGAAAGAGAAAGAGAAGTTCAAATTGATGCGCGCTGTAAATTTTGCAATGTCTCGGCTTCTATTCATCATAGGAACTTATTATTTTTTTAAACTGGGGTAGCCCGACGAAAAAATAACAATGGGCATATTTACGAATTCGTAGAATAGCCCTGAACCCCAGAAAAAATCAGTTATACTTAAATTTTTTTAATTTATAAAAATGTTACAAAAATTATTGTTCAACGAAATATTAATTAAAATTTCAATTTCGGAATTATTTTACTATTATTAAATATATAAATGAAGCTATCGTACATTTAAATAGTTATTTTTTTACATATTAAGGCAAAGTAAACTTGTTTAAATTACGATTAAAATGTAAAATTAAAGTAAAAATTCACAAATTATTTTCAAATTATTGTTAAAAGATAAGAGAAAATAAAAGATAAAAAAGAATAAAAAGCATTTGAATTTATTACAAAATTCTCAAAATTAAAAAATATTAATAAAAATAATGAGGTCGATAAAATTACAATTTTAACTTCTTGAAATTTTAATAGGTATATAAAGTTTTTTGTTATATTTATTTTTATTTTATACAAAAAATTTTTTACAACAATCAAAATTAATTAAAAAAATATTAATCACAACCATTTTCAATAATAGATATAATGCAATATAATACAATTGAAAATATAAAATTTTTTCTATTTTTATGAGAAATATTAATTTGAAAATAATTTATGCATTTTCACTTTAATTTTACATTTAAATCGTAATTAAAAAGCTTACAAAATATTGAAAAAGCAACTTTACTTTTACTTTGCCTTAATATGTGAAAAAATAACTTTTTAAATGAACGATAGCTTCATTTATTTATTTAATAATAGTAAAATAATTCCGAAATTGAAATTTTAATTAATATTTCGTTTAACAATAATTTTTGTGACATTTTTGTAAATTAAAAAAATTTAAGGTTAAAAGATTTTTTCTGGGGTTCAGGGCTATTCTACGAATTCGTAAATATGCCCATTGTTATTTTTTCGTCGAGCTACCCCAGTTTAAAAAAAAAATAAGTTTCTACGATGAATAGAAGCCGAGATATTGCAAAATTTACAGCGCGCACTTCCCCCACCACCACGCCGCCGGCCGCCGGACAGTTTACTTAGCGAGTACCTTCTCTTTAAAGGGCTCGTGAGTCGTTAATTTTCCACATTTTTCAATGCAATTCACGGGAAATCGTAGTTTACGTCGTAAACTTTATTTTGCGAAAAATTCAAGTCTTAATATTTATAAACAATTGCGCTACGATTTTTTAAAAAAAGATTCTTATCTTGGCTCCTGTTGGTCGTAGAGGGCACTTTTTTTATTTTAAAACTGTATTTTTTTGCCAGCTATCCATTGCATCTATTTTCGGTGAGATAGCATAAATAGCAACAATGTTATTCAAATTGTTTATAAGCGAAAAACGCACGGTTTTTTAATGCACAATTTGAGAATGTTAATGTCAAAAAAATGGTGATATTTTTAAATAGGTCGCTTAATTACGTCTTTAAGATTACAATGACGCTTTCAGAATCACGTTTGGTTGAAAATTAACGCCTGTACAGAGGCTTAAAGTTCATAACTTTTGGAGCCTCCGTTATAAACAAATTGAATTGTGCGAAAACTATTGCACCTACAGCGCCCACTTTTGAAGTATGACAAAACCCTCAACTTGTCATAGGTTTTATAAAATTTTAACAATAAATACGAGTTATAAACAAATTTAAAAATGGGCACTTTTCTTGTTTTTTTTGCAACAGCTTTTTTGTTTATTAACCGATTTTAATTTAACAAGTCTCATTTTGTAGATAATTTTACTCCTCACAAGCTGTCTGTGAGTCGCTTTTTCGCTAAAATTGATGATTTCCCTGCAAAGTGAAAAAACTGTTTTCCTCACTTACTTGTTGAAATAGTTAAAAGCTACTTGTTGAAAAGCTAAAGTTGAAATGTTAGCTAATAAAAGTTTTTGACTCACGAGGTGAGAGATGTCTTGTGTTATGTTCCTTTAGACAATTTTACAATAATTTCGCGGATAGGACTTTTTTCGAGTTTCTCTTTTATTTTCACAAATTTTCTTGGTGTATATGGATTTGGTATAAGTACAGCACAATTTAATTATCACAAGACATTAATCGATTAAATCAGTCAATTTAAAAAATCACGAGAGTTACTAATTTTTTACCCTCAAATCTTAATTTGATATTAATATCTTAATTTCAATTTATTAAAGTTTAAAAAATTGAAAAAAAAAGCAATAAAAACAAGATCTACCGGGGTTGTTTTCTAGGGAAAGAGAAAAAAGTCAAGAAAACCAAAGAGATCGTGACCACGCAGGTGGTCATAGTGCACGAAGATAAGTGGACTCAAGCACCCGACTCCGACGAAGAGTCCGAAGAAGAGGTGGAAACGGAAACGACGAACCTGGTGAACCCCGGCGAGAAAGGTTGGACGTACGTCTCTTTGCCCATTCCCGAAAACCTGGCAATCGCCATGGCGACGCTGTGGGAAAATGCCGAGGAGGTGTACCTGGTGGACATGGAACAGGTGTTCTTCATGAAGCGGCTGTTGCTGAACGCCATAACACCGTTTGCCGACGCCTCAAAGCAGCACATGGCGGACTACATGAGCAGGCCCGACGAGAAGCAGAAGTACCTGAGGGAGTTCCAGAAGAGTTACAACGAATTCGAGGACGATTTTAGGAGCGATACAGAGTTTAAGGCAGAGATGCACTGCAGGATCAGCGAGATGAGGGAGAAGCTGACCGAAATCAGCGACTGGAAGATGATAGCGGCGGACCACGAGAGGGTGTTCATCATAGAGAAGAATTGGGCCGCCAAACAATTCATACAGTTCACTAACAACTACGTCTCGGCGTTACAACTGGAATTGGATAGGTAGGAAAGGTTATACACTGCCAAAATTATGGAACAAAATTCAGTTTCCAGTTGAAATTTAAAAAAAACGCCGAAACAGGTCAATTAGTAAATAGAAATTGTCACTTTTCTGCAATATTTTCAATTTTTTTAGCCATGTTTGACAGACCATAACACTACAGATTTTTTTTTTAATAGGACGCTCTATATTTTATAGTATAAATAGCCCTTCTAAAGACGTTCAGCGATATAAGGTTATATAGTTGTTACGATCTCAATTGCAACCGCATAAAAACATTTAACTCATAAATTCTACGGAATCCATAGACGTCCAGAAAAATTTAGCCCTGTCTCGTCTAGATATACTATATTCTGAGCTATATAGTCCGGTCAAATTAGTCATAAAAATAGTGGTCAAATAACGAAAATTCCGACAGAGCTAAATTTTGGTGGAGACCTTGGGTACACCATTAGAAATAAAGTGTCAAAAGTCCCCATTGATTCCATGTGTGGGTAAAAAAGGTATTCGGGGTCAAAAGTAAAAAATTGAGGTTTTTTGGATTTTTTTCGAAAGCGGTAAGTTTTATCAAAAAAGCTCGGATAAAAATTATAGATTTGAAAATTATCTACAAAAATGGACCTTATACTTCTTTTTCCAAGAACCACCATTCCTGAGATATCGCGATTCTAAAAATTGAAGGATCACGTTCTACATGATATGCACATACAGGGTGTCCGGTAAGTACCTCCTAATCTCTCGGGAGTGTATAGGGGAGGTCAAAATAAAACTAGTCCTTCCTATAATTTTTTTTCCTAATGTGCCCCCTAACGGAGTTATGGGGGGTCAAAGGGGTACCTAGAAATTAACGTTTAGGGTTATAACTTTGAAACCACCCTGTATATTTTAATAAAATTTTCGTACGTTGTATTACACATGGAGCTCTACGATTTGATGCTAAAATCAACTTTTTGCTATTATCAGGTGTCCAGAAACGGACTGGCCCTATCACAATTTTTCTCAAAATTTTGACAGAAGTAATTTTATCAAACTGAAAATATTATTATTAGATACTCTGAAGGTTTTTCTTTAAAAATGGTACTCTTTATTTATTTCGAAAAAATGAACGGTTTGCGAGATAAATCGGTTTTGAAAAAAATTGGTAACAAATACAACAACAATTAAAATTTATTTTTTTACAATAAAATCATTCCCGCTAGTGCCAGCCTACAGATTCACCATAAACATTTACTGGTGGTGAATTAAGGGAATGAATAATGCCGTTTCTTGTAAAATCAACATCTATGACCAAAATACATCTACAAATTATTATTGCTCTTGTCTCCATGGAGTTCTTTTCTATTGTTTTCGTTGTTAGACCCTGTTGATTTTAAAGTACTTGTCAAAGGCGCGTGACAGAATAAAAATTCAATTTTATTGTGGTATTCGTTTTAAGCCGTTAGAAATAACATTTAAAAATGGAAGAATATTCCTGTGCAGAATATGCTGATATGCACCTAATTTATGGGGAAGCATTATGCAACTCCGTGGAGGCAAGAAGACTTTATGAGGAAAGGTTTCCGGGTCGACATTTGCCGAGTCCAAAAACTTTTGAAAGAGTTGATCGTAGTTTAAGAGAAACAGGTAAAAAAAAATAGTGAAAAACGTTAGTGAAACTAATTTCTTCCGAATCCTTTATTTAGGAAGCTTTTTGCCACGCCGTGGTGGAGCAGGAGCCCCGAGGAGAGTACGAGACCCTCATGTAGAGGAACAAATATTGGAAGACGTTGCTAATAATCCTTCAAATAGCATAAGGAAGCTTGCGGCGCAAAACAATGTTACAAAATGGGCTGTACATGAAACTCTGAAAGAACAATTGCTTTACCCGTACCACATCCAAAAAGTACATGCTATGTCTCCAGATGATTATCCAAAAAGACTTCAATACGCCAATTGGTTTTTACAGCATCATATTCGGAATCATAATTTTGGTACATCTATTTTGTTCACCGATGAAGCAGGTTTTACAAGAGACGGCATAATTAATTCGCATAATCTACATGTCTGGGATGAAGAAAACCCTCACGCTTTAGTTCAAACTCGCTACCAACAAAGGTTTATGGTGAATGTGTGGGCTGGCATTATCGGGAATCATTTGATTGGTCCATTTATTCTGGAGCAAAGACTTAATGGTGCTCTTTATTTGCAATTTTTAGAGGAAAATCTAAATATTTTGTTAGAAGAAGTGCCCCTTCAAATAAGAACTGAAATGTGGTACATGCATGACGGTGCACCACCCCACTTTGATCGTTTAGTACGTCAACATCTGACGAATGTTTTTGGTGATCGATGGATAGGTCGAGGCGGACCTGTATTATGGCCACCTAGGTCGCCCGACCTAAACCCATTAGACTTTTTTCTGTGGGGTCATTTAAAAAATAACGTTTATTCAACACCCGTAAATAGTAGAGAGGAACTTCTGCTGAGGCTAACACAGAACTGTGACCATCTCCGCAATAATCACGGAATATTATTTCAAGTGCACCGGGAAAACATTCGTAGGATTAGAAAGTGCATTGAAGTACGGGGTGCTCATTTTGAACATCTACCGAAGTAACATTTAGGTACCTTTGTTCATTGTTGAATGTTCTTTGTTGCATGTCTTGTAAGTAAGTTATTTTTCAAATGTTATTTTTAATTGGTCACTACTTGCTCATAAAGTATAGCCAACCCGTTCAAAGATTTCTGGACTTGATAAAGTTAAAGAAATTAAATGCATGAAATAATATGTAAAAAAAATAAATTTTAATTGTTGTTGTATTTGTTACCAATTTTTTTCAAAACCGATTTATCTCGCAAACCGTTCATTTTTTCGAAATAAATAAAGAGTACCATTTTTAAAGAAAAACCTTCAGAGTATCTAATAATAATATTTTCAGTTTGATAAAATTACTTCTGTCAAAATTTTGAGAAAAATTGTGATAGGGCCAGTCCGTTTCTGGACACCTGATAATAGCAAAAAGTTGATTTTAGCATCAAATCGTAGAGCTCCATGTGTAATACAACGTACGAAAATTTTATTAAAATATACAGGGTGGTTTCAAAGTTATAACCCTAAACGTTAATTTCTAGGTACCCCTTTGACCCCCCATAACTCCGTTAGGGGGCACATTAGGAAAAAAAATTATAGGAAGGACTAGTTTTATTTTGACCTCCCCTATACACTCCCGAGAGATTAGGAGGTACTTACCGGACACCCTGTATAGCAGAAAAGTGACAATTTCTATTTACTAATGGACCTGTTTCAGCGATTTTTTAAAATCTGATGTGGGGAAAAAAATATGATTTTTTTTCCATCATTTTGGGACAGTGCATATTATTTTCAACAACTCACACCGAAGTTATTGCTTAGATTTGCGGATACCATGATGTTGTTGGGCGACTATTATACCTCTTTAGTAACGAAAATGCCCAGCAGCGTAGTGATCTTGAAGGAAATCCTACCAAAGTTGGAGTTGGAGCATACCTACACTATAAAGTCGATAAATAGTCTGCTACAGGAGGTCGACGACTCGGAAGAAGTAGTACTGAAGCAGTTCATACAGACCGTCGTCGATAAGTGCTTCACCTTCGTGGAAGCTACTCAGCCTTCGATTAAATTCGCCATGAAGAAAATCAAGGACTTAATCGAGGAAGCGAAGAAGGCAAATGAGAAGTTGAAACTTTTGAACAAACCCATGGATAAAAAAGGCGAGAAACGTAATGAAACTGTCTTTATTAGCTTTATTTTAGATGACAACACACGTTCCTTCTCGTATTTTTTCAGCGAGTAATAAAGGACTCGCTCTGATTGAAGTGCAGCTCGACGAGGAGGTTCTGAAGTTATCCAGTCAGATCATGGAGGAATGGATCTATGCCGTTAAGGGTGAAACCATAAGGGTAAAAATCCGACTGGAGTTGCTGAAGAGGGACCTCATTCTAAATTTGGACGAAGTCTTGGGTAACTTACGACGATTGTTCTACGTGATATACGAGCAGATCCAGGTCTCTTATAGGAAGGAGTTAGACATCATCAACGAAGTCTGCAGAGTGCTGGCGTTGGCGGTGGAGAGAGAAGTGAAGATCCAGGAGGAGCTGATCTTAGACAGAGAAGACTTTTATGTGGATCCAGAGGTAATGCTATTCCCCGACGGTCTACCGCCAGTCAGACCCATTGAAGAGAGCGTCAGAACCGGCATGTTCACGATAAACCAATTGGACAAGCTTGCTGATATCCTGATGGATCTGTCGCCAAGTGGGTGTATGCCGGAGAGAAGTTTCGTGTATTTGCTGCAGGACTTGATAGTCAGCAAGGACGAGCCCATCCTACTTCCCGAACTGTGGCGAAAAATGCAGCCACGCCACATGGACAAAGTCTCAAAGTATTTATTCGACGACGTCGAGTACGTGCAGTGGAAGGATTTCATCATACAAAACCTTATGGTGCCGTTCCCAACGGACGCCCAAATTTTAGAGGTCAGGCAGGCCTTCCGCGCGTTTGACCCCGACTGCACCGAATTAGTCACCGACTACCAGTTCTCGAAGGTGAAATTTTGGTTCGAACCCACAATGGAAGACCGGTACAGGTTGAAACTGATGAGGCGGTTGCTCTTCAAGATGTATCGCGTCAAGACAGACGTCATGAATTACACTGCTCTCTTGTTGGACTTCTGTAAGGACCCCAATCCAGTAGCAGGTCTAGCAAAAGCTTTGACCGTTTCTTTGGGCCAGGCCGTTTGTTGGGAAAAGGATGTTGGAAAACACTTCGAAGAGATGACCAGGAAGAAGAAGCATTACGAGGAACTGCGAAGGCAAAGGATGGAGGAGTTGAAGGGGGGCCAGGAAGTCGTGGAGCCAATCGTCGAAGAGTTCGTGGAGGACCTGTTGGAGCTGTGTAGGAAGAGAGAAGAGGATCTCGATGTGGAGGAAGAGGAAGAGATCATAAGCACAGCAGGGTCCGTCCCAGAGGAGAAAAGTGAATATTTCGATTTCAGCACCAACATAAAAATTGGTATTGAACCCGTTCCCGATCTGGCGTATTTCTTGTCTTTGGACGTGTTGCTGACGGTCGTAATGACGTGCTTGCCGTGGCACTCCAGGGTGCAAAATATCGAGGATAAAAGCTTCTTGGAGGTGACCGAGGACGTTTACTCGCAGTGTAAACACAGAAAGTTCAATTACAAGGTCCTGTCGCACGAATTCTTGAATCATCCTCTTTTCGTGGAACAGCTGAGCAAGACGTGCAAGTTTTCGACGAAGAACCCGGTGCGAGTTGTGAAGGAGGTCTTGGCGGAGAAACAGGAAGAAAAGGGACACCACAAGTCGAAAAGGCGTTGATAAAAATCACTTTTATTTCATATCACAATTCCTTTTACTCATATACAGCAATATACATCCATGTTTAAAATATAAGTTCTTTATTTAATAAATTACTATTGACAATTCAATTTTCGTTTCAATAGAAATATCTTACAAGTACAACGTCTAATAAATAAGAAAATAATAAAAGATGGGCGTAAACGAGCTTAAAAAGGTCTATAAATGTCTTTCTTACACTTATTGTGCTTAAATTAAATAAACTGTGCGCGATCACAGCCAAAATAACCGTAACATGTCGTACTTTACGAGAAGTAAACTTTGATCGTTTTTGTCGTCAAAAGTTTCTTGTCTTATTTGGTTCATACAGGGTGACCCACCAGGAATCGCCACTATCGAAATCTCGGAAAATACCGATCCTATAAATCTGAAGATTAGGCAACCTAGCAAACGCAGTAGGGCCAACACACCTAAAATATTTAGAACTTTATGGCACTTCTCGTTTTACCGGAAGTCGAAATTAAATCTCTTATTTTAAATGGGACACCCTATATATTATTGCATTTTCGGATTTTATGTGAAATTTGAGGGTCGCTTTATAAAATATTCCCTATATCTAGGAGTTAAATTATGGTATAAACATTTAATACTAGGTGTTTCATTTTTGCTGTTACATTTTGATAACTTCAAACAGCTATAACTTTGTTAACTTACATACAACACCCTGTGTTTTTTTACTGTCGTATGCAGATTGAAATTTCCTTTCAAGTGATATAAGCATTGTTAGGGTTGCCGTTACTACTTTTAGAGATATTTGCAATTTTCTATTCTTTGGACAGTGTTTCTTGTATCGGACCTGTTATCAAATTGGCCATGACCAGAAACACTCCAAAAACAATTGAAATAACTTGACATTAGTTAAATTAGTTGTTAAATTATTGTTGTTTGAAATAGTTTTTGCTGAAAATTTAAATAAATATGCCTAGGGATCGTTTAAATTATACTAATGAGGATTATTATTATTTTAATTTGTTTGTTATTGATGAACAATGTGCAAAACAGCAAATTCTCTACATATTCTTGAAATTACTTTGTTACATTGTCCATAAACAACAAAAAATTAAAATAATCATCATTAGTATAATTTAAACGATACCCAGGCACCTTTATTCAAATTTTCAGCAAAAACTATTACAGACGTAACAATAATTTGACAACTAACTTGACAAATGTCAAGTTGCTTCAATTGTTTCTGGAGTGTTTCTGGCCATGGCCAATTTGATAACAGGTCTGACACGAGAAACACTGTCCAAAAAGTAGAAAATTGCAAATATCTCTAAAAGTAGTAACGGCAACCCTAATAATGCTTATATGGCTTGAGAGGTAATTTCAATCTGCATACGGCAGAGGGTTCATACAGGGTGTTCCATTTAAGTTAACAATGTTATAGCCGTTTGAAGTTATCAAAATGTTACAACATTTCTGATTTTTTCCTTAAAAATTAATCTCAAAATCTACACTCTTAAGGTATAGGGAATATTTAATAAAATGACCTTTAAATTTCATGTAGAATACGAGAATGCAATAATATATAGGGTGTCCCATTTAAAATAAAAGAGTTAATGTCGACTTCCGGTATAATGGAAGTGCCATAAAGTTCTAAATATTTCAGCTGTGTTGGCCGTACTGCCTTTCGTAGGTTGCCAAATTTTCATATTTATCAGTACTTTTCGAGATATCGCGGCTATTCCTGGTGGGACACCCTGTATAGATTTTATAGGTAGAAATTGAGACATTCCAAATCAAATTCAAAGTTTACCTTTCGCTCACAAATAATAAAAAGTACGATAATATTTAAAAACTAAGTACACGTTCGAGTAACACTTTCACAATTTATATACAGGGTGTTTTGGAAAAAAATCCAGTACCATTCAAGGGAACATCCAGAACATCAAAATTTAAGAATAATCGGCTTTTGTTTTTGAGGTATATGGTGCCAAAAATGATATTTTAAAATCAAACATCTTCTCTAAAAAACAAGTTAACGCAATAAATGACGTAACTGCCCTTAATATACAGGGTGTCTGTAAACTAATGGGCGATACCTCAAGGGTAGCTTCTTTCGATGAAAATAAACCAATTTAGATCAATTTACATTTTACTTCGTTTCAATCAAGGTAACTTGATTGAAGTAACACAATTCGTTTCTGGACACTCTGTATATTAAGAAATAGAAGCCGGTTGACTTTAAGAGTTATTTACGTTTTTGGCGGTTTTATCAAGAGCGTCTACCTTTACAGAACATGCACTGTAAAAAACCTAACCTCCAAAAAGTCAACACTGAGAGAAAACTTGCTTGTACCGAATTTCAATGAAATACACAGTTTTTTGGGAAAGACACGACTAAAATTTGATTCTAAAAAATCTCTTTTGACATCCTGGATCTGAAAAACACGAGGATAGGACCACGGTATATTTTATGTTCTATAACCCCGAAATTTTGTAACACATTTCCGCAACACCCTGTACATGTCTTTTTCCACAATACGTCTAGTTACCCAAACTTATGCGAAATTTTTCTGAACGACAAATTATCACATATAAGCAGGAAACGAGCGATAAAGTATATACTTTGAAAGATTCGTGTCAAAGTACATACTTTTTGCTTTTAAAAAACTTTAAAAAAAAAACACTGAAATAAGCCGCACGTAATATGTATAAGAGCAGTAATAAAAATTATATTTACCAAAAAATACAAAACATTTAGGTATTAAAAGTGAATAGAGAATATACAGGGCATTATAAATTACCGGTACTTTTGGCACCTACCTTAGATTCTACAGTCTCACTCTTCATATTCATAGGATATTTGTATTTCTGAACTAACATTATTTTAATACAATATTTTTAAGTATTACATTTACTCAAGTTCAGCTACTGTCAATTTTTTTGGGAAAAATTTAAACGTCCGAAAATAGTTTGAATTTATAAAAGGTTAAGTCATTTTTAGAGATACATCATTTTAATAGCACTCATAGAAAAGATGTTTATGCTCTTCAAAATGTCGATCTTTGATTTTGGAATTTGAGTTTGATTTAAATCACGAAAAAATATGTACGTCATTTAGTATCATCGATTATAAAATAAATCAGAAAATATCTCTCGAAAACAATAAACATAAATTCCTAGACTCTAAAATCACTTAGAAGAAGGAGAAATTAAATATTTTTTGGCAAAAATGCTGCCTTAAGATCAGTTAAATATTTCAAGGTAGGTGACTTCATCAGCTAGGTGGGTCAATGCCTACTAGGATCCACGTATATAAGAGGTTAAGTTTCCTTTGGACTAGTCTATACTTTAGGCTATTCAGTCCGTCCTTGTCGAAACGTTTTTGGCCCTGCTTCAGCACGTCATATCTGAAATCCAATCAGTCTGGGTGAATTACATTTTTTTTTTCAAAAATCGGGCCCAACTCAAATTTGATGGACTTCAAATTAAGTAAAAAATAAATAGAACAGAACAGAATAAAAGCCATAATTTGTGTTTTTGTAGAGGTCGAGCGTTATATTGTTTATAAAAAAAGATAAAAATAACTGCCCTTTCTTCTGTTTGTAGCTTATATGTCCGAAAATAAGCCTTTAATCGACATGAGCTATACGTATCGATTTTGTTCCTGAGGAAATTTGCTACAAGGACAGGTGATGCAGCTTAACTGATCACCATAAGAGACTGGGAATGGACTGTATTACCTTTTAAAAAAAATGCGTAGGTAGGGACTTAGGGCTGTAATTTTCCTTTAAATCCGGCTTGAAGGACCAAATCTTATGATGCAGCTTAACTGATCACCATAAGGGACTGGGAATGGACTGTATTTTTACCTTTTAAAAAAAAATGCGTAGGAAGGGACTTAAGGCTGTAATTTTCGTTTAAATCCGGCTCGAAGGACCAAATCTTATGATGCAGCTTAACTGATCACCATAAGAGACTGGGAATGGATTGTATCTTCTTTTTCTTATAATAAAGTGGAAATTATGGACAAAGTGAAGTTTCTATTTTTATTTAATCTTGTTGTCAAGTACACACTCTTTTTTTCTAAATTCAGTTAAGAGAGTATTATTTTTATGTGAAAAATTCTGTTGCTTAGATATATTAATTAAATCATTTTTTAAATACACGCAATCCGGACCGCCAATTTCAAAATGGCGGCCTTCTGCAAAATTATAAAGTCGAAAATGCGAGCGCTTAAATCTTCTGCCCAAGTCAAAATATCGAAATTCGGTAAGAAAGGAAATTTGTATCGCGTTCGCGTAAATTTCAGATTTTTAAGTTGCAAAATAAAAAAGTTACATATTAACAAACATTAAAAAATCGCCGAGATAAGGACCGTCGCTACCGGTTTTTTTTTTGGTTTTTTGTTAATAACTTTTTTATTTTGCAACTTAAAAATTTGAAATTTACACAGACGCGATCCTTTTTGTCGAATTTCGATATCTTGACTTGGCCAGAAGATATACGCGCTCGCGTTCTCAATTTTATAATTTTGCAATAGTCCGCCATTTTGAAATTGGGGGTCCGGATTGCGGGTTTGAGTTTTCAGTCAAATTCGTTATTTTTATTTAATGCTGAAACATGTACATTTTTTCCTTCGCCGCTAATTTTGTAATGCAAAAAAAAGTGCGAGCTTTCGCAAAAGCCTCTTGTTATGGTTCAATAAAAAATGATTTAATTAATATATCTAAGCAACAGAATTTTTCACGTAAGAAACAAATCTCTCTGAATTGAATTCAGAAAAAAGAGCGTGTACTTGACAAGAATAAATAAAAATAGAAACTTCACTTTGTCCATAATTTCCACTTTATTATGTATAAGAAAATGAAGATACAGTCCATTCCCAGTCTCTTATGGTGATCAGTTAAGCTGCATCATAAGATTTGGTCCTTCGCGCCGGATTTAAAGAAAAATCCTACCTACGCATTTTGTTTTAAAAGGTAAAGAAGATACGATCTGTTTAAGCCAAAAATGGATTCAAACAATAGAAATCTTTTGATGGTTTGCACTCCCAGAAATAGATACCGCTGTGTGTGCTGTTTTGTAGCCACGAAGCAGTCTGAATTTAAAAAAAAAACGCAAAAAATAGACGTGTGATAGAATTCGAACGAATCGGTACAAACATTGATATAGACCATTTTTAATTGTAAGCAATAGTAGATTTTTTTACTTTAATAGTGATCAACAAATAGTACATACGGTAGCCAACATCATCCCATTCCTTACTCTCTAGTATCCTTTTACCCTTGGCTACCCTAATAGTGTGACATCATTATCATCATCACTTGGTAAGTTTATACATAGTTTCCTTTTTTTTTCTCTCTCTCTTGTCTCCATTATTAGTTACAGTCCATTCCGTACTTCATAATAGCTTAATACTTAAACACGGTCCATTCCCAGTCTCTTATGGTGATCAGTTCACCTGCATCATAAGATTTGGTCCTTCGAGCCGGATTTAAAGGAAAATTACAGCCTTAAGTCCCTACCTACGCATTTTTTAAAAGGTAAAGAAGTTACAGTCCATTCTCTTATGGTGACCAGTTAAGCTGCATCACCTATCCTTGTAGCAAATTTATAGCTCATGTCGATTAAAGGCTTATTTGCGGAGATATAGAAGCGAAAAACAGAAGAAAGAGCAATTATTTTTTACTTTTGTTATAAACAATATGACGCTCGACCTCTACAAATACACAAATTTAGGCTTTTATTCCGCGTTTTTTTTACATAATTTTAAACCCATAAAATTCGAGTTGGCCCGATTTTTGAATCAGGCATGTATTTGGTCTAATTCGCCCGGATTATCATGTTAGATAAACCAATCTGTTTCATGTAAGGGCGGAGCTAAACAGTCCCCATCCCTCTCCTCTTGAGGATATCCCGTCTCTGCTTACCTGTTTGGACTGGGCTTGTCCTTCTTGTGCGTCAACATGGTGTACCTGGCTATGGTGAGGGGATACCTGGAGATGAACAGATGGTGGTACCTTATCCTATTCGACATGTCGTCGTCTTCGCCGCCCCAACCCCAAAACGAATTCGAAAACCCGTTGAGGAGCTTGAAGTGCTTTTTACTGATGGCCGACACGCCGCCGAATATCGCGGGATACGGCAACCTAAAGAAGAGCAGAACGTGTATACCTCTAGAAAGAGGATAAGGGAAATTGAACTCACATATACTTAAAAATATCAATGGAAATTGTACTCACTTATACTTAAAAATATCAATAGCCACGCTCATGTGCCTCGGTTGTTCCGGGCAAGTGTACAGATTCCTGTCGTCCTCAGGCAACAAGTCGATGTCGTGGAATATGAAACAGTCGAAGTCCCGTAGGTTCAGCGCCTCCTTGAAGCCTATGTTCATCAGCATCGCCCTGTTGAAGGGCCCGTCTCCGTCCTGCTCGACCACGAAGATGGTGTAGTCCAGCTGTTGCCTCTTCAGGTAGGGATGCATGTGTTGCAGGAACAGGAGTAGGTGTTCACCCCTGCACCTGAAGGGGATCACGATCGCGACGCTCTTCAGGACCCTGCAGGATTCCGGCTGCCAGTGCCCGCCCGGCTTCAACCAGGTGAAGGAGTGTTCCAGTTGCTGGACGGTGGGAACGGCAGATTTCACCACTGGGATTCGGCCACCTGAAGAAGATGGTTAAGTCAAAACTGGGGTGTTCCTTGATTCAAATTGAAGCAACTTACGTAGGTTTGAGGAAACGTCGTCTGGACACAGAGGGAGGAGCGTGGAGTTTAAAGTTCTCGTGGTAGAAACGTTCTCGAATTCAGTGGTGGAAGATAGATCGAAGACGCCGGTCAAGTTGTTCAAGCTGTGGGTCAGGAATGGCGGTTCCGTGACGATGTAGTTGAAGTACGTGGTGAAGTTGGAGCTCTTGGTGGGAGAAGATGAGTTACTGATAGCTGTGGTGAAGTTGTACATGTTGGTCTTGTTGTTCTTGAAGAGCAGGGTTTTCAGAAGGGGTCCGTAGGTCTGCGGTTCTCTCCCATGATTTGGCAATCTGAAAGAGATTTGTTTCTGTTTGATGCCTACTTCTGTTAAAGAAATAAGACTTAGATCTCCATTAAAATGTCGTTAACCCTGGTACTCACTTGGCGGCGTCGAAGGAGAGGCCCGATTTAGTGTCCGAAATTGTGTTGAAGAAGTATTCCAGCAAGATGAAGATCAGTACCACAACGAATAGCCCCTTGTAGGGGGTTATCGGGCACCAGGTGGGCATCCCCACCTCTCACCTCTTCTGCAGCATGGTCCTCATTGCTTTGATACGCATTTTACGTCTGGATGAGTCTGAAACAGCAATTTTTATTTGAATTTCAGCCACCATCTGGTGTCGCCGACCTCGCAAGCGAAGTACTTTGGAACAACGGAACAACCCTTAATTTAACTTTGAAAATGGAAGTTGAATGTTTTTGAAAGGCTTGAGAGGCTACTTTCTAAATTTATATATTATAAAAACTTCATTACGCTGAAATATAGCACATGGATTAAGTGTGTTATAAAGATTTTAACAGTAAAATAAGGGATTAGTACATACGTCTGTAAATTATCATTCACAAAGATAAATATAAATTTAAACTATATTAGTCTAGTCTTATCCACCATTTGTAAAAATAACAGCACAATTTGAAATATTATTTTATGTAAAAATTGGTATTCCCACATTTCTCTGTTATCATCTGTCTTCATTAAAGTACGATAATGATCTTTAACTATGTACGTTAATAACTGGTCTAAAATAAACGGAACAAATAATTAAGTCACCGTCAAATAATCATCAAACCTGTGTTTAACCTCAGAAATTATTAAATCGCCTGTATAACGTAACATTTGCTGGTATGGCGAACGCCAGCACGATTCCGAACACCCAGTATCCACCCCGTACAGTTATTAATTGACTGCCCAAACGTTTGACGTCCTGCATATTGATTGAGTGTTATTTCTGTTAGATACTTCGTAACTATTAGTTGTTTGAAGTCTGTACTAGAAATTGAACGATGGCGTGTTATTCAAAGTACGGAAAATATCAAATGTCGATGTAGCGACGGCTCGCTGGGGACGCATTACAAAAATGCGTTTTTTATGTTGTTTGTCTGGCTTATGTTAATAACTGTGTACATTATCTCATCATCCGGGTGGGCGTTGTTTCGAATTCAAAGCAATAGTATCTTCGAAAACGTTAACGTTACTTTTTTTATTCATGTAAATATTTGATGTAATTGTCATAATACTGGTCCCAAAAATTCACCGATGTTTCCAATCGAGACCGCGAAGTCGTCAAAAGTTGTTTCCAAGATTTTTATGATTAAGTTATAGCTTAAATCACCTAAACTTCCGGAAGTACGATCACCTTGAAAATATTTTAACTTGGTAGGTGCCAAGGTCCGTATTACACCATCACAATTTCAAAAAAATCCTTCGAGCGGTTTCCCAGACATCCATCGATGGAGTTCGTGGTGGGACACCGTGTATATTGTTTATATATTTTATCCCGTTGTATATTTCACGCCTTCACATACAACGTTCTTCCTTTGTCTCGGGAGAACTCCACGACCCTTTCCTTTGATATAAAATTAGAACGGCACATACCGTGTTTAGCTTTCTAATCACAATGACATGTTTATCCAAGCTACGTACGCTGGTATAATGTTTTCGAATTAGCTTCTAATGTGGGCAATAATCATAAGTTCAACAAAAGTAATTAAACAAATTTGTTTGTTAAACAAGCGCCGTTAAGCAGAATGAGCAATATAGGTTACATAATTGCTAGTCTGGCTGACGAAAGCGAAAACAAATACAGGGGTAATTAGAAAAGTCGACGGTGACGTTTTTGTTTGCTAAAATAAATTAAATGCTTAGTAGCCAGCTGTAAAACTGAAACAAAGAACATAATTTTTGACGTGAGTAGAAACGATTAAATAATTTAGGAATAGAATCCAGTATGGCTATGGTTAACTCATGATTAAAAAAATATTCGAGGGTTTTGTTACAATGTGGTTAAATTTAGCGAAACCATATGCAAATTTTACTATTTAGTCATTATCATTGAAAATTTTTCATAGAAAAAGGAAGTTTTTTACTTTTAATAATTTCCTATGATATCATAAATTCATTGCGGTATTCGATATACAGGGTGTCCGGTAAGTACCTCCTAATCTCTCGGGAGTGTATAGGGGAGGACAAAATAAAACTAGTCCTTCCTATAATTTTTTTTCCTAATGTGCCCCCTAACGGAGTTATGGGGGGTCAAGGGGTACCTAGAAATTAACGTTTAGGGTTATAACTTTGAAACCACCCTGTAAATTTTAATAAAATTTTCCGTACGTTGTATTACACATGGAGCTCTACGATTTGATGCTAAAATCAACTTTTTGCTATTATCAGGTGTCCAGAAACGGACTGGCCCTATCACAATTTTTCTCAAAATTTTGACAGAAGTAATTTTATCAAACTGAAAATATTATTATTAGATACTCTGAAGGTTTTTCTTTAAAAATGGTACTCTTTATTTATTTCGAAAAAATGAACGGTTTGCGAGATAAATCGGTTTTGAAAAAAATTGGTAACAAATACAACAACAATTAAAATTTATTTTTTTACAATAAAATCATTCCCGCTAGTGCCAGCCTACAGATTCACCATAAACATTTACTGGTGGTGAATTAAGGGAATGAATAATGCCGTTTCTTGTAAAATCAACATCTATGACCAAAATACATCTACAAATTATTATTGCTCTTGTCTCCATGGAGTTCTTTTCTATTGTTTTCGTTGTTAGACCCTGTTGATTTTAAAGTACTTGTCAAAGGCGCGTGACAGAATAAAAATTCAATTTTATTGTGGTATTCGTTTTAAGCCGTTAGAAATAACATTTAAAAATGGAAGAATATTCCTGTGCAGAATATGCTGATATGCACCTAATTTATGGGGAAGCATTATGCAACTCCGTGGAGGCAAGAAGACTTTATGAGGAAAGGTTTCCGGGTCGACATTTGCCGAGTCCAAAAACTTTTGAAAGAGTTGATCGTAGTTTAAGAGAAACAGGTAAAAAAAAATAGTGAAAAACGTTAGTGAAACTAATTTCTTCCGAATCCTTTATTTAGGAAGCTTTTTGCCACGCCGTGGTGGAGCAGGAGCCCCGAGGAGAGTACGAGACCCTCATGTAGAGGAACAAATATTGGAAGACGTTGCTAATAATCCTTCAAATAGCATAAGGAAGCTTGCGGCGCAAAACAATGTTACAAAATGGGCTGTACATGAAACTCTGAAAGAACAATTGCTTTACCCGTACCACATCCAAAAAGTACATGCTATGTCTCCAGATGATTATCCAAAAAGACTTCAATACGCCAATTGGTTTTTACAGCATCATATTCGGAATCATAATTTTGGTACATCTATTTTGTTCACCGATGAAGCAGGTTTTACAAGAGACGGCATAATTAATTCGCATAATCTACATGTCTGGGATGAAGAAAACCCTCACGCTTTAGTTCAAACTCGCTACCAACAAAGGTTTATGGTGAATGTGTGGGCTGGCATTATCGGGAATCATTTGATTGGTCCATTTATTCTGGAGCAAAGACTTAATGGTGCTCTTTATTTGCAATTTTTAGAGGAAAATCTAAATATTTTGTTAGAAGAAGTGCCCCTTCAAATAAGAACTGAAATGTGGTACATGCATGACGGTGCACCACCCCACTTTGATCGTTTAGTACGTCAACATCTGACGAATGTTTTTGGTGATCGATGGATAGGTCGAGGCGGACCTGTATTATGGCCACCTAGGTCGCCCGACCTAAACCCATTAGACTTTTTTCTGTGGGGTCATTTAAAAAATAACGTTTATTCAACACCCGTAAATAGTAGAGAGGAACTTCTGCTGAGGCTAACACAGAACTGTGACCATCTCCGCAATAATCACGGAATATTATTTCAAGTGCACCGGGAAAACATTCGTAGGATTAGAAAGTGCATTGAAGTACGGGGTGCTCATTTTGAACATCTACCGAAGTAACATTTAGGTACCTTTGTTCATTGTTGAATGTTCTTTGTTGCATGTCTTGTAAGTAAGTTATTTTTCAAATGTTATTTTTAATTGGTCACTACTTGCTCATAAAGTATAGCCAACCCGTTCAAAGATTTCTGGACTTGATAAAGTTAAAGAAATTAAATGCATGAAATAATATGTAAAAAAAATAAATTTTAATTGTTGTTTTTGTTACCAATTTTTTTCAAAACCGATTTATCTCGCAAACCGTTCATTTTTTCGAAATAAATAAAGAGTACCATTTTTAAAGAAAAACCTTCAGAGTATCTAATAATAATATTTTCAGTTTGATAAAATTACTTCTGTCAAAATTTTGAGAAAAATTGTGATAGGGCCAGTCCGTTTCTGGACACCTGATAATAGCAAAAAGTTGATTTTAGCATCAAATCGTAGAGCTCCATGTGTAATACAACGTACGAAAATTTTATTAAAATATACAGGGTGGTTTCAAAGTTATAACCCTAAACGTTAATTTCTAGGTACCCCTTTGACCCCCCATAACTCCGTTAGGGGGCACATTAGGAAAAAAAATTATAGGAAGGGCTAGTTTTATTTTGACTTCCCCTATACACTCCCGAGAGATTAGGAGGTACTTACCGGACACCCTGTATAAAATGTGTAGTCGTTATTGCCAAAAATGAGATTATTTAAGACAACTGGCTGAAGTGAGACTGTTTTTTTTAAGAGTAGGACCACGGAAGACCGTCGTTTGGAAATAATTGGTTTTCCATTGCCTAAAACGCCTCGCTTGCTATGATTTTTTATATTTTTATTTTTCAGAAAAATATGTAAGAGGTTGTTCTATAACAGACAGCAACAGCAAGCATTAGCCTAAGTTTCGTCATTCTATATCATACACTGTAAAAAAATTTCACTAATATTTCACTCAATTTTACTCAATTTCTGTCCACATCCGATTAAGTGAAATTTTCACTCTATTAGTATGGGTACAACTAAGTGAAACTATTGCATCAGAAATCAGTGAGTTTTACTCAAATCCGAGTTATTGCTAACTATCATTTGAGCGACTTTTGACTCTATTCTGAGTATATAAAACCAATTTAGAGTTGACGTTGATTTTTTCTCTAATATGATTTAAATGTAACACACACAAAAAAGTTGTCTGTACTTTTCATACGACGTATGTTATCCGTAGTATTTTTGCCTCCTGATCACGAATCAGGTGTCAGAATTGAGCTATCACATCACATGAATTTCCTAACCTCAAAAAAACAGGTCA